GTGTGATACTAGGGATTAAATTCAGGGATATACAACCACCAAGCTACATCCTCAGCCCTTTTTATTTTTTATGTTGACAAGGTCTCTAAATTACTGAGGCTGTTCTTGAGAATTTGTGATTCTCCTACCTCAACCTCCCAAGTTGTTGAGATTTACAGTGAGGCACCACCACAACCAAAGATCATTTATCATCTTAATGGTTCGATCTTTTCTTCCATTTCTGATAGGGATAGCATGTGAGCCCCTGACCAGAGGTTAGATTCAAAACAAGCTTTTTATTTAAGCCTCAATTTCTTAGGTATGGAAATTAGATGGTTCTATGTTTTCATGTACTAAAAAATTTCAAATTTGAGTCTTTTAAAGGAGAAGATGCAACATAAGAAGGAAAAGTGAGTCCTAGACCATATAGTAAATTCGTTTTTAAAGGAAGAAAGAAGCTGTCTTAATGTCAGTTGACATTTAATAAGTTCATTCCATTGACCCAGTCTTTTCTCAGCTAGTAATTAAAAGAGGCAGCCATGACAGCTCTACATTAAGGTATATACTGACTCAGTGTTTATCTAGTTTTTGAAAATGATATATTCACAATATGTACAGGTACATTATATTCCTGTCACAAGTCTTAAGTTGCCTTATTTATGTAAAAGTTCTGAGGTTTAGTTAAGGTTTATCATCCTGAAGTATTTGATACTGGTTGTTTTAATGAATCATAATAATAGCCATTATTTATCAGGTGGTCAGTATATGCCCAATACTGTTAAAACACTTCAGGAACTAGATTTCTTTAGTCATGTGTGTTGAGGTGTAATTTATATATGGTACAAGTTGCCCTGTTTAGTATTATAGTTACATGAATTTTGACAACACAAATATAAAAATGACATATATATATATATATATATATATATATATATATATGGATATATAGTACTACAGTCAAGATACAGAATATGTTACCTTGTTCTCCTTTACTTCTTTAGAGTCAGTCACTTCTCATTCCCTAAACCTTGGCAACAACTTATAGGATTTCCCTTTGTTTTGTCTTTTCTGAATGTCCTATAAATGGAATAACATTGTACATATTTTGAGCCTGGCTTCTTTCATTCAGGTTAATGCTTTTTAAAAATTTTTCAGCTGTAGATGGACACATTACCTTTATTTATTTTTATGTGGTGCTGAGGATCGAACCCTCACACATGCCAGGCAAGCACTCTACCATGGAGCTACAACCACAGGCCCCAGGTTGATGCTTTTGGATTCATCATGTTGTGGCATATATCAGAAATTTACCTATTTGTACCTGTTCACTGCCGAGTAGCATTCCATTGTATGAATATTCCACAATGTGTTTATTCATTCACCAGTATTGGATTTCATTCAACTGGCTTTCCAGTATTTGGTGATTATGAACAAAACTGTTACAATTATTTGTATAGTTTTCAAAAAGATACATGTCTTCATTTCTCATGGATAAATATCTAGGAGTGCTATTACTGGAGAGTATAATATGTTTAACTTTAAAAGAAACTGCTAAAGTGTCTCCTAGAGTAGCCGTACCATTTTGTGTTTCCACCAACAATATGTGAGAATTCTAGCAGCTCCATACCCTCATTAGCACTTGCTCTTATCAGGTTTTTAAAAAATCGTATTATTTATTTATTTGATGGTTTTGGTGGTCAAGCCCAGGGCCTTTCACATATAGGGAAGCACTCTACCACTGAGTCAAATCCTCAACCTTTATTAAGAAATTCTTTAAAACGGGTTCTAACCAAGTTGCTTAGGCAGCCTCCTACTTGAGATTTCCTGCCTCAGCCTCCAGGTATGCACCCTTGTTCCCTGCTCAGTATTTTTTGTTTGCTTTAAGCTATTCTAATGATGTGGAATGGTAGTGGGAACTTACTTTGCATTTCCCTATTGTGTATTAATGTTGATCTTTTCATGTGCTTTTTACTATCAGATTTCCTATGGTGAAATATTTGTTCAGATCTGACCATTTGAAAAGACTGGACTGTTTTCTTAAGTTGTGAAAATTCTTTATATATTCTAGAGAGCAATAGCAATACATGAATTTAATTTAATCTTCAAAATAATCCTTCACAGTGGATACTGTTAGCCTGTATTATAAAGAAGTGATGTCCACAGCATTGTTAAATGATTGCTCAAGATGACACAGGTAATAGCAGCAGAGCTGGAATTTGAACCCAAGTAGATTGACTCTACCTGTGCTAAATTGTTTGCCTGTTTTTTTTTTTTTCTTTGATACTCTAGTGTGTGGCTATTTATATTTTTTTGATGTGTGGGAGTTTGCTGTGAATAAAACTAGGATCTATTTCCTGTAGATGGTACAATATTTCTAATAGGTATACTGCTGAGGAAAGGGGCAATATATTATAATAGCAACCTTAGAATCATCTCCTTAGGAACATATTTGTGTTGAAAAAGGTAGTTTTCCACTTTAAGTCTTTTACTTCACTTCTGTATATTGGTGATCAAAAGTATGTTTTTAAAATTACATTTCAAATATCTGTTATTATCAAGTAATAAGATATTTTATATAAATGGATTTTCTCAGTAGCAGAGGCTTATCCTTTAATATATCTAAACAGCATAAAATATCTTCATACTTGATGTCATTTGCTTTATCATTTGGAAACCTGTATCATACTGATGCCATATCTTCATGACACTCAGCATATGGTGATATACTTAGAGAATATGTACAACTTGTTGACTTTACAGAATGGCTTAGAATTTAGACACTTTTTTTTTTTTTTTTAAAGTTCTGGGGTTTGCACCCAAGGGCACTCTACCACTGAATTATATTCCCAGCCCTTTTTATTTTGAGTTGGGGTCTTGCTAAATTGCTGAGGATGGCCTTGAACTATTGATCCACCTACTTAAGCTTTCCAAGTAGCTGAGGTTAGAGGTGTGTGCCACCAGGCCCATCAAACACTTTTTTCCCCCTTCCCTATACTGGGGATTGAACTAAGGGGTGCATAACCACTGAACCACATCTCCAGCCCTTTTTATTTTTCATTTTGAGATAGTTCTTGTTAAACTGCTGAGGCTGGCCTTGAACTTGGGATCCTCCTGCCTCAGCCTCCCTAGTCACTTGGATTATAAGCATGCACCACCATATCCAGCTGAGGCTAATCACTTTTGTAGTTTATTTTTTTGGTACCAGGGATTGAATGCAGGGGCGCTTGACCACATCCTCAGCCACATCCCCCAGGCCTATTTTATTTAGAGACAGGGTCTCACTGAGTTGCTTAGTGCCTTGCTTTTGCTGAGGCTGGTTTTGAACTTGCTATCTTCCTGTCTCAGCCTCCCACGCTGCTGGTATTACAGGCATGTGCCACTGTGCCTAGCATTTTCATAGTTTTATAAGAGGTTTTTTGTTTGTTATCTTCTCTGATTATTAGCTCTGTTACTTGTTCTGATATCATATTTTTACTATTATCCTCTTTTATCCTTTATAATTTCTATTTCTAATTAGCTAAAAGAAAATAATGAGATATTAGGCTTACATGGATATTGTCCAAAAGGAGTTTCAGTTGTGGGGCCGGGGAGATCAGTGGACTTAATTTGCTTGAAGAAGCTTGTTTCTTGGTGTTTGGACTCTGAATAATCATTATGGATAAGTGTTTAGCTAAAGTAAGCTAAACAGGACATTTGGCAATAGAAAAAGTGATGTTTTTTACTCTTTTGCATTTTTTGTTAATTTGTTAAACCATGAAGATTATTTAAGAAAAGCAGTAAACTCATACATGTTAGAGAAATGGACTAAATGGGCACTTCATAGGCAGAAAGTTGAATTACACTGCATCATTGCAAGCACTTGGAGAGGTGCTTACTGTTTTCAAGCCATTTTAATTAACTTAAGCTTTTAGAATAAATTAATGTTTACCCAGGGGCCAGGGTAACTAGCTATAATGTTTTTGCTCCTTGGCCACCTTGTCAGATAGATGATGACTTGGAAAGCAGTTTTACTGGCTTCAGTTGTTTGCTCCTTCTGTTGGTCATTGTACAGTGGAGCAGAGCTGTAGCAAGGTGCCTGGCACATGGGAGATTTGAAATATATGCAGAAAGTCTTGTTGCAAAGAAAAAGCTGTGTATATCATTTGGAAATGGTAGAATTATGAAATAACTGATTGTATTGGTAATTTTTTGATATTATTATTTATTTATTTTTAGCTGTAGATGGACACAATACCTTTGTTTTATTTATTTATTTTTATGTGGTGCTGGGAATTGAACCCAGTGCCTCACACATGCTAGGCAAGTGCTCTACCACTAAGCTACAACCCTAGCCCTGATAACTTTTTCAAAATAAGTTTTTTTTTTTTTTTTTATCAAACTTGCAGTTCTATTTAAAATCATTTTGCTATGTTGGACTTTATAATGCAGACTAAAAAAATTTATAAACTTTATTGACTCACACTTTTTCATTGAACTTTGAATTTTCTAGTGGATTTTATGTCTTTAGAGAACCTACAGGTCTGCATCTGGTATTGTACTTTGTTAGCTTTTCTGGATTACATAGTAATATATCCCTTTCATATATGGGTTAATGAGTAGCCAGATTAGAAACACCAATCCATTGTTACATTAAGAACCACAGTTTGTTCTCTCCCATTCTCGTATACTTTTTGCCTTTCATTGTTGTATTTATTTGATATTAATTCTTAAAAACTGAAATTTTATATTTTAAAATAACATGGTTTTTAATTTTGTTTCCTCGTATGTTCTCATTCTATTTTATTGTTAATTTTAAACTAAGGCAGTAAACACGAGCTTAGTAATGGTTTAAATGAAGGTAGCTCTTGCTCCTTGGTTGTATCTTTCTCCTGGCCTATACCTCCCCCCGCTTGCCATTTTTTACCTGTAGATTTGCATGTTTGACCTAGTAGAATAATTGAGTCCACAGCAACATGGGCGTGCCTCCCTTAGAAACAGTTTCATGTATGACTCATAAGCTGAAGCACAGACACCACTTCCCCAATCTACAGGAGCCATTTTAACAGCATAAAACTTGCTGGATTGCTTTTTATTTTCAAGCCCAAAGGACAAAATCTAAAGAGAAAGAATGTTTGAAGGTAACTTGTTTTATATATTTGCTTCTGGTTATTTCTTGAGCTGATAAACGGAGGGTAGTTCTTACCTGTTGAGAAGAACATGGCTGAAAGTGTTCTTTAACTCTGATAAAATGTGTGTAGTCAGTCACATGCCTGATTGCACTTAACTACTAGGGGGAAACAAAGCATTAAGATACTGGAAAGTTTTAGGTTTTCTTGGTAAAGAATCTTAAAAACTTTTTTTTTTTTTTTTTTTTTTGCATGATTGGTGTTTTCCCCCTATGTGACTTCAGAAGAAAGGATTTTTTCTTTTTTGACTACCATAAAACAACTAGGTTAAATTTTAGTTTAAGAATAATCTAATCATTTGTGGGACTGGCTGTCAAGTTATGATTAAATAAACTGTAATGCTCTTGTGATATGGATGTTAAAAAATTTAGGGGTAGTGGCTTTGTTTTGTCATTTAATTAAAGATGAACTTTGGGACAACTCATTCACAGGTGTTGCTCATGGACAATTCTATTTTTTTTTTAAGTTAAAATGAATTATGCTAAATATTTTGAATACCAAAAGTTTAAATAAAGTGAACAGTTATTTAGGTAACAAGTAAAAGCGAGTTTAGAGTTTTATGTAAAGAGGAAGAAAGATTCTAATGATTCTTTTACTACTAGAAAAAAAATGAAGCCATCATTCACATTGGAAACTTGTTTTGAATAACAACCTTGGAAGCAAAGCTGTCAAAACACGTACTATTTCTATTTTGTATAAAAAGGAAAAGTGGAGAATTGTCTTCCCTTTTTCCTATTCTTAAGATTTGAATATTTTGCATAAACAAAAAACTTTTCGTGAGAAGATTGCTCAGTCTTTTTCTGAAATATTTGTCATTTTTAAAATTGTGAAATTTTAGCTGGCAAGTATACATTCTGGTGTGCCTTGAAGTTTAGGTACTCTTGAGAATCTGAGTGCAATAGTATTTTACTTCTAAAACATATTTGAAACTAAAATTTGAATAAAAGTAAAATTTGAATATGCAATAATTAGGTCTAAAGCTTTTGGAAATAAAATTAGCCAAATTATTTATTATTGACCAAAAATGATAATTTAGCTGGTTCATTGAGAATTTATTCTTACAATTTTCTGAAGTTGCCTAAAGCCCTATCAGATGTGAAAAAGAATATAGAAAAGCAGTTATTACTTCTTACCCTTTTGAAAAAATTGTTGATATTAACAGATCTCAGTTTTGTGGAATTATAAGAAAGACTTAGCAGACATTTTGCCAATTCAGGTCTGAACCATTTGTTATTATCTTTGTTTGCGTATTGCTGGTTTAGTCAGCCTGAGTAAGCAAAGGCTGTATTTACTTCAGGTCTGGACTGTTTGAAAAATCTAATGAAACCTTTTGGTTTTTTTTTTTATTTTATTTTAATTTTTAAAGGCCAGTGATCCATAAAAGAAAAATTTAGAGGCACAAAAATAAGCAACGTAATTAAGGTTTTATTTATTAAATAAAAGTAGAAGAATCAGTGATTAAAAGTAGAAGAATTGGCTTCTTAAGATGAGGAAGCTAAATAAATTAAACTAATTTTATATTTAATTAAATTAACAATTAAAATAAAACAGACACTGGTCATATATATGTGTTTCATGTTATGTGAAAGTCTGGGGTAGGGCTTTAAGAAGGGAGAAGGTGGTGGGGAAGGAAGAAAACTGAACTTCAACTTCTGTTATTACATAGCTCCCCTACATTGTTTTCCTTCTATAAGTTGAAAGTTTCAACCAGGTCATCTGAATTAAACTTAGAGTTTCTGATTTAAAGAACTTTTGTGCTGAAAAGTTCTGCCTCACTTTTGTAGATGAAGAAATAGTTACCTAGATGCTGAGACTGGCTCTGGGTTAAGCAGCGCATCCAGTCTGGAGCTCCTCATGCTAGTACACACTAACAAGTAATGCTTTGTTTGAAATGGCCTGTGTTTCCTTAAGAATAAATAAAACCTTAAGTTGTTTGGTGATAATTATCAATCAAATGAGTTAACCAATGGTTTTGAAAATTAAAAAAACAGTGGTTTTTTAATCAGAGAAGATGATACATTTGTTTAAATTCTGCAATAGTTTTTGTCATTTAGAATTTTTTATAGTTGAAGCATAGTTTGTAATATTGCTTCTGTAAGATAGTCCTAGATGTTAATACAAAAAATTGGGAACTTATTTGAACTTCTGGATACAAGAAAGGTTTGTTTTTTTTTCCTCAGTTTTACCTCATATTCTGTTAGGAGCACAAATACTGTCTAGTATTACACCTGTTCTACTAAAATAAGTGTGATATGTACATGTTCACAAAATCTACAGTTCTCTAAGCTTTAATAGTACACATTTTAAATTTAACCTTCTCATAGTAATCTAATTCCATGTCTTCATATCCATATATGTCAATTATCTTTAAAATCTAGAGAATACAAAATCTTTTTCTACTGATTTTTAAAATATGTGTTATTGGGATGATTGGAAATTGACTTTTAGATCAGCTTGTTCTTGAGGTGTGAAATTTTGTTAGGTCCAATTATTTATTTATTATTAATTTTAGCACTGTGTACAACTGTTGAACCTTCAAAATTTCTGAATATTCTTAATTCAATATCAGATCTTCCATAGCATGGCCATCGTTGTCCTAAAGCAACAGATGGCACAAAGACTAGAAACATGGGCTCTATCCTCACATACTTAAATTTCTTGTTGGGAAAATGGCTTGGTAACCACAGGTTGAAATAAGAATAGAACCAAACCACCAATTAAATTCAGGGTCACACTGCCTAGAGATGAAAGATGACTAAAATCTGAAATAGGAAAGTTTATCTTGAAGGAATTATGAGTATCGAAGAATAAATAACATTTACTCAGGTTAAGAAGAGTGATTAAAAACGATACAAGCACTGGGTGCAGTGGTGTACATGCCTATAATCCCAGGGAGGCTGAGGTGGGAAGATTGTGAGTTCAAAAGCAGCAGCATCAGCCTAGCAAGTCCCTAAGCAAGTGAGGAGAACCTGTCCCTAAATAAAAAACAAAAAAGGGCTGGGGATGTAAGTTAAGCACCTTGAGTTTAATCCTTGGTACCCAAAAAATAAATAAATAAAAATAAAATATATGCAGTTGGGAATGTAGCTTAGAGGTAGAGCACTTGCCTAGCTTTCACAAGGTTCTGGGTTTGATTACCAGTACCCATTTTAAAAAACAATAAAGATATAAGCCCTATGAGATCAGAGATGTTGTATCCTATTTTTTTTTTTTTTTTGTCTTTTTCAACCTTCGACAAAGTACCAAGCATATATGGGTAGGCAGATACCACATATGGTATTAAATTCTTGACTACTCTAGGTTGCTATTTTATATGGCATTGTGACAAATTCAGATGGACCTGTCCAGAATTTAAGAGTGGCAACTCTAAAAGGCATGTAGCCCTCTCTGGTGTGTGTACATTGTAGTCATTCAGAAAAAAAAATTAATACCTGCCAGACTGGGGATGTAGCTCGGTGGTAGAACACTTGCCTAGCATGGGCAAGGCTGTGGGTTCAATCCCTAGTAATGTCAAAAGAAGAAACAAGCAAACAAAAAAATTAACATCTATCTGCGTTTCTGATATTATCTTTTTTTGGTGGGTGTACTGGGGATTGAACTTGGGGGCACTTGACCACTGAGCCACATACCCAGATCTGTTTTGTATTTTATCTAAAGACAGGGTCTCACTGAGTTGCTTAGTGCCTCACTTTTGCTGAGGATGGCTTTGAACTCATGATCCTCCTGCCTCAGCCTCCTAAGCTACTGGGATTACAGGTGTGTGCCACTGATCCTGGCTCTAATGTTATAATATTGTTCAAGCAGTATAATTGTCAACTCAGTGTGAGAAAGAATCGCCTTCAACTCAGCAATTCTGATTCATTAGGTTTAGTGTTTGGTTTGATAGTCAGCATTTTTATGAAATATTCTAGATGTTTTTGATTCAGGTGCTTATAGGCCATATTCTTAGGGAGTTTGTTTGCAGAGTTAAGACTTTGAAGAGTGATTAATCAATTATTTAGCATTTTAATTTTGAATTTTTAAGCAGCAGTGATATTTTGAAGTCCACAACCTCTACAAAAGAAGGTAGGTGATCAGGGTACTTTATTATCATTGTTCATACCTATGTAACCTCCTTTCCCTATCGTAGGTATCCCTTTATTGGCTATGTGCCTTTCAACTGCGCATCTCCACATCTTTTCTATAACTTTGTTCCCTTTTTACTCCCAACCCATTGTTGTATTAACCATGATATATAATTAAACTAATTTTTGTTTTTCAAAGTAATTAGCCCATTCTTTATCTCTCTAAACTTTTAATATTAGCTTTTTAGTTCCACTTGGTGCTTTATGGATTCTTTTTTCAACCCCTTATCCTTGGGGCTCTAGGAAAAACATTACTGATCTAGGGGGCAACGTTTGCAGTTTTTTGAAACCCTTCTCTCCTGAGAAATTTGTAATTGTTTGAGTATGGAGAAAGTAAGTTTTTTTAATACCATGTAATGCTTAGCTGTGATTTTTGAAGTTTCTTTGGACATTGAACTGCATCATTGACTGCATGTTTGTAGGCTTTGCCTAATGTTCCATCGTATTTAATGGGACATTGTTAAATGTTCACTGAATCTCATTTTATGAATGGGAAGAAGAGTTCCACCAGTTGAACTGTCTGAAAATGATCATTGCTTCCATAGAAGACCAGAATACCTTACTCCTTTACTTAGGATCTGCATTCATGTAAATGTTGGAAAATAAATTAGCAGTATTTTTGAGTCAATTCGAATGACTCAGGCAGTTTTCAGTCAAATGAGCAATTTTTCTTCCATTGTGAAGAACCTATCAGATGTGTTGTATACTACAATAAAGGTAGTTATGGAGCACATTACGGGATCTTCTCTGGTCATGATTCTACAATGCCCCCACCTCACCCAACAAGAGAAAATTGAACACATTTATGTGCTATTTGCTTTTTCTTCT